AGTCAATTCAAAGAAAATTGCCTGGTACCTAGTTCTTGCTTTAAGTTCATTCTTGAGACTAGGCTATATCCCTTCCAGTGGCTCTCCGAGATGATTCTGACTCTGTATCCTATTGTTTAAGTTCTCTTTTTGTCTCTGTTTTTCTTTGCTAGCTTACATTGTATTGCATTATTTGTAACTAAATAGTCATGCACAAATTATAGAGATTATGTAGTGTGGTTTTCAGCTCAAACACACAAATATCAAGAAACATGAGACCTAAGGTTTTTATACACGGAATTTTGATCCAATAGTATATACAACAACTCATTAGGCTGGGAAACGAGATATGCTATTTCACAGTACGTCATTACACAAGATTAAGTTGGGGGGTAAATACAGCATCATTTTTACAATTGATTATTAGTTGCAGAATAATTTATAATAGAATGTGGACTATTAATATTACATGACTTTTTTTCCTCCGGATTTGCCTTGTTTTCTTAAAATTGGTAAGGCTATGTGAGTAAGTACTTTCAGTTAATAACATGCCCATGGACAGGAGCTAGTGTTACCTAAGTAAAGATTGATTAGAAAAACAGAAACTCACACTGTAACAAATTTAGAGGAAAAAGTAAGAAGAAATAATGTCAGAAACTAAACCTGACCATTTTTGTGTTTGTGTGTGAAAGAGAGAGAGTGTTAGGTATTAGGTATATGACATTTAATTACAGTGCTTCCAGAATTTGCTGATAGATTGTGTGGGGTCCCTATTAGGCATGTACATTGATATGTTGAGCAGTTTTTGAGAATTAGGTAGGGGAATTCAAGCTAGAGATGTAAATTAAAGTTAACAAAATGTAGGCTATATTTATGTCCCTGAGAATGGAGGAGATCTTCCAAAGATGTGAAGACAGTAACAGTTTACATGCTAAGGCTTGTGAGAATTTCAAATTTTAGAGATCGAGAACATAGTAAAACTTAAATTCTAATAAAATACAGTGAAAATTGTGATTAAGAGCTCATGAGCACGTTTTACCTTCTTGCCAAAGTCTCACTGTGTGACAGTGATACTTCCTTTTTGAACTGCCAGCAGCATGGCTTTGTTGAAATTTTGATGTAGAAAGAGGATGACACTAGGATTGGCCTGGTTGACTAGTCAGTGACCAGATTGCCCTAAAGATTATATGAATGTTACCTAAGATGTATAATAGTCTCCTAATGTTCTCTATCTTTGTTGACTTTAATTTCCACACGGCTACCAGAATAACTTTTCTAAAATAAAACTATTTGTGTGTTTAAAATACTTCAGTGGTCCCCTCTTGACTTCAGGAGGAGGTCAGATTCCTCATGATAGTACACAAGGCTCTCCATCCCCTTCCTTTCACCCACCTCCCCCAGCAGTGTCTCTCGCCACTTCCCTGCTGGTACTCTGAGTTAATATTTCTCCTGATGTTTCATTATCATTTCTCAGCAGGCTTCCATACATGATGTGTCCCAGCCTGGAAAACTATTTTCCAACCATATGCATTGACATTTCTGACATCTTTTAGGGAGCCCTCTCTGAACTCTTAATTCTGGGTTACTTTTTCAGTATCCTTCCTGACATCTTTTTCTACTGTAAAATTAAGTAATTCAAACTTGAAACTGTTGGAACTTTAAGGTATTTTGAGCCCAGAGAGGATTCTGGCTATGTGGCCTGAGTCACAGAGTGTGCAAATGGAACTTCTGCTTTTTCCTGTAAATTATTAGGAAACGGGTTGTGGCAACAGAGATAAGACTTCCCTCAGATCATCACTTGTCCTCATGGAACGTTAAGGCAATGCTCCTTTTATTGTGGCAAGCTATAACCCATCAAATTGCTATAACCTGTGCACTAACCTTGTATGAAAATGTTGTAATTCCCTATATGAATGTAACCCTAAGTTATCCACTTATGAATGATGACACATTCTTTTAGAGTATGTGTTTTCTGGATAGTCATCCTGAAGCTCTGCACTCAGATAAACACTATACTTGACGTGGTTTCTGAATCTTATTATGTTTGACACTACTATGCATTGCAATTACCAATGTAATGAGATAGAGAATATATCCAGAAAAGTGGTTCTCCACTATTTGTCTGCCAGGGCACATTTGACAGTGTCTAGGGACATTTTTGGTTGTCACAGTGTGGAGATGCTAATGGCATCTAACTAGTGGAAGCCAAGGATACTGGTAAGCATCCTACAATGTACAAGATTGACCCTACAACATAAAATTATTCAGCTCAAACTGGCAATCATGCCAAGATTGAGAAATCGTGCACTGGAATGAAGAGCCAATCACTTGAGACTTGTTGAGGTTGACGGTGTGAAGGGGCAGCCCACAGCAGGGAGTAGCTCAGAATGTGAGGGCAGGGAGAGTTAGGATAAGGGAGGAGGAGAAGTGTGAATAAGAAGCCTGGATGGGTGAGGATGTAGAGAGTTTATCAGCTACATATGGGAAGGGAATTGATGTTTAAAGAAGATGTTTAGAGATGTGTTCCAGGTAAGCCACTGTGGGAAGCCCTCTCCCATCTATACTGGTCTGCTACCTATTGGAACATACCCTCTCTTGGGCTTGTTATACCCTCACCATCCCACAAGCTTGCCCAACTCACCATATTTTATTGTTACTGTTGTTTTCTTTTAAACTTTTGGCAGCCTGAAGCCATGGTTCTTGGTTTATGTCTCTAATGAGAAGCAGAAAAGAAATGAGGAAGGGGTTTTACTGGCCCAACCAGAAATAGAACTAAGAATCCATGGCTGTATTCTCTCCCTTGACATCCCTGAAAAAGAAATGGTTATAAATGCTTTAGATCTGTTCAATCATTCTAATCTTAGTGGCATGATACATTTCTTCTATAAAATTTAAAATTTTATTTTGGAAGTAGGACCTTTGGATATTTCAGTGCCTGAAAACAAGTGAATAAATCACCAACGTTGAAATACCAGGCACTGGTGAAGTATGCAAGGGAAATATTTTCAAAGTAGACAGAGATTGCAATTATATCCTTCAAATTAATTCTTACTGGGGACTTTTTACCAAGCTGCTGGCAAAACTATTTGATTAAAGACAGTAATTTATAATCTGATATGATGGGTGGTCTGGAAATAACCCTGATACAATGCATGTTTTCCTGTGTGTCTGTGTGTACACATGTACACATGTGCAGTGGGTTGGAGGCTGACTTATCTGTGTTATATTGTATATATTTATATACATATATAAATGTATATATACATAAACACACATA